TTTATAAATCTGACATGTTTGAAAATATTAATTTATATTAAAGTTAGGTTGAGTTAAATGCTGCTAAATCTTATTATTTAACGTTAAAGTCTCCTTCGATGTGTTATTAGTATTCCAAGATTACGCATAGTTTTTGCTTCGTTTATTTTCATTCTCTTTGGTTAATCTTAGTTCAGTCTAGAAGTGGACATAAGTTTAAAATAATTCTAGATCTTTTTATTTTGCAGCAGCGAGTGAATGTAGAGATAGATCGTCTGAGGTGAAACCTCTGTGTATAATTGTTCAGGAGATCGATGGAAAGCAATCTGCTAACGAAATAATGCGAAAAATGCTATGGCAGCAAATCCAGCTAAGCCAAAGAACAGTTGTTCCCAGCTGAATATTTACTTCAGCTGAATTCAGCATCCTATACAGCAGTTCATTTCGTACCAACTACGTCAACAGTAGAACTTTGTGACTTGTATTATCGATACCAGATCTACTTAATATGTTAACATGCGACAGTGTCGTTATTTGACAGGCACTCAAGTATTATCTGATCAACCTTTTCAGTTTCTGCATTTTCAATCTGTAATTCCTTTCGAGTTTTGCGGGCAACTGTTTCAAGAAATTTTTTCAGCTGGTCTTTATTTTGTGCTTCTGCACCACGACAAGTTTCCCGGCTATGTCGACTTCCCTATATACCTGAACAATATGGCCTTCGGGTTTCCATTACGTGTTGATTCCGTGTAGGACATGTGGCTTTTTCGAGCTTTGCCTTGTTTCCAGTTGTTACCTTAAAGGAACTGCAGATTCATTGATGGAGTGACTGCCACCTATTGATGAAGGAGGACTTTTGTTTATAATCAATCTTTTTCATGCTTAAATTAAATAATATTCTCTGATAACGGTATTAGTTATCCGCTAAAAATTCATCTGCTTTTTTACAGCTCAGTATGAATAAGCCAATGAATTTTTTATGTTACGACTGTTGTCTTTATTATGATCGATTTCATATGTTAATTTGACGATGAAGTGTTTTGTTAATACGTAACGCTTTCATAGACACAGCTGTGCCAGAACGAATAATTAACGTAGTAAAAGGAAATTCGTTTTTAGGATAACCTAATTCCGATGTTTCCCTCCGCATCTGAGAAATTCATCAATGTGCTCATTATTATTCTGTATGGGTCTGAATGTAGACACACTAGGTATAGAAATCACTAGTGAACTGACGTTTTTTTTCACAGTCACTTTGTTGGCTAATTAGATTTTAACAGCCACCTTACCAGTTGATAAAAATACTACCTACCAGGCCTTACATTTTCATGCAGATCCGCACGTGGGATCTTACCGTCGTTTCTCTTTCACCACGTTAATGGAACATTGAACTGTGTACTGATTCATTGCAGCCCGTACGGATATTTGTTAGTATTAGTGTAATGCTTTGAAGCATATACAGTTTGGTGTTTCATGAAGCAGTTGTAATCCAGGTTTCTTTGATCTGTATGTTCACTTGTTTAGTTTTTTCACAGTTCATCTTTATTCAACAGTTTTGTTTTTTTAGGCTGAAGAACTTATTAAAAAGGAAATGTTGATCATGCTACACCATGATGCGCTCACTGATCCTTCAGATGAACAGGTCAAAATTGATAAAAAAAATATTCACAGCAAGTCTGAGCAGACAACAACGCTTCTGAATGAAGAAAAGCACAATCAGTTTTTGGACCAATGTCCCTTTGAACCGATCAGCGAAGACGACTTCGAAAAAGTATGATGCGCTTTTTTTCTATTGCGCTGGCTGTTCGTTCCTATTTTTATGACGTGCGTAAAATGCCGAGACTAGCTGTTGAACAAAAGATACACCGTCATCCATTACATTGTGATTTTGTCAGAAAACTTTGTCTCATATCGTCAAATAATCAAGCTCCATCATGTATTAACCTTCATGCTTGGGAAAGTTTTTTTCTGAAATTCGTCGTTGCTGGTCCAAGCCCCGATGAGAAAGGAGGAGGGTCGGGGCCTGTGGCGAGATCTGTAAAACATAGTCATCTACCCCTTATGCTATTGCTTCTATCGAGCGTTATACCCGTCGTTCCCCGGGTTATCAAGTGCCTTGCGGGCTGTCGGGGAACTGAAGTAAACTACGAAAAGCCGGCAATCAGAAATTGCTTATCGCCTCCTAGCAACTCGATGTGTAGCAGCACTGCGATGGCTGCCGAAGATCGACAAGAAGACGACGAAGATACCATTCAGCAATGGAGCTTCTCTCCGTTGTGAGCGGAGGAGGCAGACGGCGAGATACCATTATAGCACGTCATCTAAGGCTCCACGGGAGTGACACCGACAGTGGGAGCAGCAGTCGAAAATTGGAATATATCTTCCCTATGATGTAAAGAGCAAGAGCTAGTTAATGAGGCCGTAAAGTACCGGCTGGATATAGTTGGACTCTCGTCGACGAAGCGCTAGGCCTCTGGAATTCTGAATCTCCGGAGTTGGGTGGAAGTTCTACTGAAGTGTCGAGATGACGACTCGTCTCTTGCAAATAACGAAGTCACAGATGCTGTAAAAGTCTTAAAAAGTTGCAAGGCTGATGGAATGGATGAAACCCGTTCGGAAACCCCTAAAGCTTTAGGCGAACAAGGAGTGTTGTGGCCAGCACATGTCTGTCAAACTGCAACAGCTATGACTACGAGTAAGAGCAGCAGGGGACTGTAGAATGGGAATTTTAGAACACCTGTTCAAGAAGGGAGATCACAGGAAATGCTCCAGTTATCAGGGCCATTCCCTTATTGAGCTTCCCGGCGAACGTCTGTGTGAATGTAAGGAGGTGCCGCGGATTAACTTGCTCTTGGGTTTACGAAGGACAGTGTGGCTTCAGGTCAGGCGGAAGTACCTCTAACCAGATCTTCGCTTTACGCCATATTGTTGAAAAATCGCGTTTCGCGCATTCGGTTTATATTTGCTTTGTGTACCGGAGGAAAGGCTTTGTCGAGATCCCACAGAACAAGCTATGGACGTTAAGACAAACATTCGATCGATGACAAGTTGCCGCTAGCCTTCCAGTCACTAAATGGTGATAGCTGCTGCATCGCAGTTGATGGCGTTAAGTCGAAACCTTTCATTTTTAACACTGGCCTTCGCCAATTCTGCTTCTGTCTTCTCTGTTTGTGTTTTAGGTTAATGAAATATCAGGCACAGCCAAGGCCATGAGCGTATCAGTGTAGGTGTTGTCAAGACGAGAAGGTTGTTGTTTGCAGACGACCTTGTTTTGTCCACATCTTCTGGAACTGATCTCCAGCACTGTCCGTAAAGGTTCAAGCCGACGTTGCCGGCATACGTGTGATCGTGTCTAAAGCGACAAGCCCGTTGCTTTCTCGTATTCCTTTTCATTCCACAGTGCAGATAATCAGAGAAGCAGTATGACATGTTGAGAAGTTCGCTTACCTCGGGGGTAGTGTTTAATGGTGATGAAAAATTGGCGCGAAAGATAGACCAGCGATATGGAATGATCAGCGGCGTTCTGCGTGAACTTGCCTAAAACCATGTTTTGGAAAGACTGTTTAGATGTGCGAACGTGTGGAAACCGAAGAGCATAGTTATTTCTCGTTCTCCTGTCAGTTGCGCTCTGCATAAAAACTGAGAGGCAGTGGAACAGATAGAGAACTTCACTTTCCTCAGGATAGTGTTTTCTGCGGGTGGAAAAGTGGAAAATGGGAAGAAGTCGATCAGTGAATTCCAATTGCCAGCGGCGCCCTGCGTGAATTGCCCTCAGTCGTTGTGTCTAAAACGGCTGAGTTTGAAGCCTAAGGACTGTGATCACACTGTTCAAGTCTCTTCATCCCGCTACTTACCTACAGTCATGACGGAATAACTTCGATCCAGGATAAAAGCAGCTGAAATGGGCATTCTGAAATCAATTTCTGACCTCATGCGTTTGAACATCGTTCAGATTACAGATATTTGAGAAAGCCGTGGCTTGCAACCGCTCCTTCTACATGTTGAAAAGTCACAGCTACGATAGTTTGGCACGTGATGTGAATGAATGAATGAATGCTTCCAGAAAGAAAGACGAAACTGGTATTAATTGCTCAACCGTCTGATCGAATACGCTGGACACGGACAAGAAAAGCTTTGGGCAAGCGTATTGAAGGACTCGACTTCAAACTCGGGACATGTTCTGCTATAACTCATACGCTGATACAGGCTGTGAAACGTTTGAGGCACTGTCTGGTGCGTCTGCCTCCGCGAACCGAAAGAATAATCGGCAGGCTTAACGGATTGAAGGATTGAATTTTGTTCTACCAGTTTCATTCAGTTAATGCCAGTCTAAATTTACGGATTGAAGCTTAATTAGCTTTGTTATTTATGTGATCTTGGTTTCAGCTACTTAGATTTATAGAGAATTTCTGGTCGTTATGGAGTCTGCCTTGGTTAAAGCCGATTTGTTTTGCTATGACATTTCTTTTAACAGGATTATACGTTCGATAATTTTGTGCCATTTTGTTTCAGGCGGAACAGCTATTAGCTGACGAAGAAGAAGTCGTTAAGTGTGGAATGGGTCACGGCGAACTATCTGTAATGGCGTATACTCAAGTGTGGGAAGAATGTTATTCACAAGTTATATTTATTCCGGCGCAACGGCGGTACACTAGAGCAAATTTGCTTTCCAAGAAGGAACGAATTGAGTCGTTAGAACAGCGTCTTGAGGCAAGCACCTAAAGTTTTCTTCTAACCCAAATTGATTTGCCATGTCTTTGTCATTATTCATTGAAATATCTCGTTTATTTCCTGATGATGTGTTTTCCCACCGCAATATCGAGTTGCGAAACTAGGACAGATTAGGATTTTCTTGCAAAATCTATGCGCTTTTCAAGTTGCTGGTAGATTATGAAGTGTAATTCTCGTGATAGTAAAATGCCAACTCATCCGTAGCATCACGGTCCTCTCGAAGAACAGAGTTTAGTTCAGAGAAACCATGCATTACGGCTTTTTTTGCTGTGTTCAGTATGTACCGTATGCACAAAACATTCGTGGGACTAGTTCCTAATATCAACCAGCACTTAAGACTATTTGCAGAACATTAACTTCAAGAACGCGATGACCACTGAAGTCATGAAGATGACTTTTACATTCTTCATGAACTGAGTTTTGCGAAAGTTCTGTCCTGAAGCTCATCAGGATTGCAGGGTTTACACAGCAAAATAGATTTCTCAAACGCACATGAATTTTGTCAGGTTTCCCGTGAGATTAGATTTGGTAAAGCCAGTGAAACTTGCGTGAATGTATGGCTTAAATCACAACGTGGAATTATATTATGCTCATATAAAGTAGCTACACGACAGCAGAGTGATGAAAAGGTTAATTTTAATGGCAAAGAGATTTTCTGTATCATTTAGCACACTTGTCTCAATATTTTAGGTGCATTGGAAAGGGGTAGTTCGTAGCAGATGGGAATCTTGTTCCCTTACACTTTCATGATGACCTCCATTTGCAGCATTACTCATTCCTCATTCATGATTTTTATAGTGCTGTGCTAATTTCAGCTTTAATTCATCTGGTAGGAGTGCTTTATTTTATTTTTTTGAAGCACAGGTTACAGCTAGATTCTCACTATACTGTATTATCTCCTGCTTTTTGCTACTTAGTCATTTATCTGTTTACTTAAAAGTATGAGTGAAGTGCGAGTTACCCTCTCGACATCAGGGTAAATGACTTTTGACTGAAAATTCGTCTCTGATTGGCTGAGCCGCTGTTTGTTCTAACTTAGATGTGGCTGACTTCGGAACGAGTTAAAAATGGCAAGGGTGTTTCTGTCGTGACTGCTTGCTATTGGCAGTTTGATAGGATGAGAAAACCCAGCTGAAACATTCTTACAGATTTTTTAAAGTTAAGAGTTATCATTTGAACAAGTTAAGGTTTCACTGTATTGTAAAGTAAGTAATCTATTGACGCATCTCGTATCTTTTTATTCATTGGAGTAACATCTCACCGCTAATGGTTTTTCACGCGCGGTTATTCATTATATGCCACAAAATATCGCAAATATAGTTTCATATGTTTTTCAGTATGTTGTTGTCATCATTATGTGGGATATCAGGATCAGGGATAGAGTATCCAGATTAATGTTATCAGACGCTGTGGTTTCTCAGAATGATATAGGCGATGTTGGTTGCTGCGGCAAAGGTCATGTTCCTCGTCGCAAGCAAGTCTGTTTCTAGCACCTGCTTTAGGGTGTGATTTTGGCCTCCAACACAGCATATAAATTCATCTGTCAGACGGGATTACGTGTGTTGTGGCACCTCCCTCCCTGTTCTGTATGGCCATTTAAATTTTCTTCCACACCTTGTTATTTTAGTGATTTTAGTCCAAAGATGCATTTTGAATCATTGTCTGACTATAGCAGTGCTCTTTTTTATCCGTGGTTCAGAAATGGCCCTATGTGTATACTTCACATCGGCAATATTTCAAAAGATCATTTCCTATTCGCACTGAATCATGATGAAATTCTGAATACAAATCATTTATTAAACTTTTTCTGCAAGATAAGTGCTGCTTTTGGAAAGATAGACTTTAAAACCTGAGTTTGCGAATTAGACCAGCAGAAAGCGGCTTTTCAGATTTTTTCAAAGCTACATTTTGTCGCATTTCTGTCGGTAGCCCTAATTATATTGTTCTGCTTCATTCCATTATTTTTTATATCCTATAACTGCCTCTTCACACAATGTCAATAGTCATTCATATTATCTTCTTCATGTTCCATTGCCGCTTCCTATTTCGGGTCGCCCAGGCAGACGCATCAGACACTTCTTCTAACGTTCTCCATCCTGTGCCAGAGGCTGAGCTTCCGCAGAAGACAACTGGAGTCTGAAAAAGACTCCTTCCATATATTTGCACCAGGTTAATCTTGGCCTTCCCCTGGGCCTCGTGCCGGCTGGTTTGGTAAGAAAGAGTTGCTTAGCCTTCCTTTCTGGAGACGTTCACAATGCACGCCCAAACCATCGCAACGGTGACTTCTCAATCTGGAGAAACAGAGGCTGTACACCAAGAGACTCACGGTTGTCTGTATTCCGGAGCAGGTCGAGACGCGTAAGGCCAGGGGCTCGTCTCAGAAAGCCCATTTCAACAGCTTGTACCCGGGTATGCAGTTTTTCAGCCACCGCCCACGACTCATGACCTAAAGTAAATACGGAGATTAACATCGACTTGAATTCCGAGAGCTTAGTTTTCAGATTGAGCTCTGCTTTAGTCACAGTGGATCGGGCTAGGTCATGCAGAACGCCACTGGCTACTCCAATTCGCCGGTTGATATCTTCCTCAAATATTAATATTATTATTATGTTATTTGAGTAAATACGACTTCCTGCTACTTGAACTTCTCCACCTGTTCCATTGCCTCCGTTAATCTGTAAAGAGCCGAGCAGGAGAACGACAAAGCACCAGGCTTTTCGTTTCAGATGCGTTCACACACGTGCAGGTCTGGTCGCACTCGGCTGTGAACCTTTCTAAGGAGCACTGTAGATCGTTTTGAGAAGGTACCAATAAAGCAAGGTCGTCTACAGACAGCAACCGTTTCGTGTCCACATCTCCTACACCGATACACTCATCGCCTTGGCTGCTCCTGAGTATTCTATGCATGTACACACCAACAGGAGAGGGGGCAGGGCACAGTCTTCTCGGAGACCGGTGCCAACGTTGAAACGTATCGACTTAAAGCCATTTACGCTGATGCAGCGCCTGCTGTCAGAATTCAGTGATTGGATGACCCTTACCGGCCGGCCATCTGTCCAGTATGCTCGAAGGCATAACCGCAGACTGTTGCGTGGGATCCGGTCATAAGATTTTTATGGGTCAACAAAACATGTCCACCATACGGGCGTACTCCTACGATTTCTCAACAGTCCGGCGCAGGAGAATAATGTCGTCAGAGGTGCGTCGACCGGGCCGGAAGCCACACTGCCCTTCTCTCTTGGAGTCAGTTATTTCGCAGCACCTCCTTTCTAGCACCTTTTCGTAGACTTTACCTGTGCGGCTCAATAACGTAATGCCCCTAAAATTCGAGCATTCATTGTGGTCTCCCTTCTTGAATACAGGTAAAAAAACTCCATTTCTCCAGTCCACTGGCGCCTTTTTTCTTTTCCGTAGTCATCGCAGTTTACAGACACGTGTAAGCCAGCACATGCCTTGTTCGCTAGATGTCTTGAGCATTTCTGGGCGAATTTCATTAATTCCAGTAGCCTTTCAATTTTTCAAGCTTTGCGCAGCTTGTGTAATTTCATCTATAGAGATAGTAATATCCGTTCACTGCTGCTTTACAGGCGAGTCTTCTTGCGGTTGCTCGGGGTTAAGGAGTTCCTCAAATTACTCTCTCAGTCGAACAGTGTCCATCTTTGGTAAGAAGGTGCCGAGACCTGTCGTTCAGGACTGTTAGACTGCCCTTCTTTTTTATCAGAGTCAGCGGATGGTCTGCCAGACTGCCTTGTTTGCCATATGGAAATTCGGCTCCAACACCTCACCGAACCTCTTCCATGAATCTGCTTTGGCTTTCGTCACTGCTTTCGCTGCCGCTTTGCGTGCCTCCGCAAAAGCCATTTTTGAATGCTGCCTTCTTTTTAACTGCCAGTTGTACCTCTCTTTGCCTCCAGGACCTCTTTTTTGACCTTCAGACGGCAGGCCAACTCGTTTAAATCCGCAGCATTCGGCGGCAGCATCGAGAATGCCACTCTTAAAGAAGTACCACTCGGTTTTCACATCAGTGATCATCACCGGGAACTGCTCAAACCATCGTGCGATGTTGTTTGTAAATTTCGCTCTCGTGTCCGCCGAGGCTAATGTTTCCCGTTTGACTCTCTTATTGCTTTTGCCACCAGATCTTCGTTTGGCACTCCGTTTCTGGCAGCGCAGCTTACCGGCAACAAGGTGTTAATCGGTTGATTGCTAATCGTGAACATCAATTACAGAGAAGTTTAAGTCGGACGACACGATTATCTAATCGATCATCGACATCTGTGCACAAGCTTCCCTGTGTCAGGTATATTAATGCACTCTTCGATGCTCGTAAAAGGTAGTGTCATAATGAACAATCCGTTGTTTGCACAAAACCGCAACAACTTTAGCAGTTATTTTTGAGGTCGCTAGGGCATTTTTTCCTATCACGCGTTTCATGGTGTCGTTCTCGTGGATCCTTTTCTTTCGTGCTATAATGGCATCGCGCTTTCTTCCTCCTCCGTTCAGAACGGGTGGCGTCTCCGTTGCTGACTGGTATCTTTGTCGTCCATCTTCTTCAGCCGTTGTGATGCTTCTACGCCCACGGCTGGCAGAGGGCGATGAGCAGGTTCTGATCGCCGTCTTTTCGAAGTCTGCCTCAGTCCCCAACAGCCTACGCAGCCCTTGGTAACCCTGGCGACGACCGGGCCAGTACAGTTTTCGATGACCTCAATACGATGATAGGCATAGAGCGGAATTTTACATAGACTTCGCGGTGTCCAACCCTCTCCTTTCTCAACTGGGCTTGGTACCGGCAACGGTGGAATTCATTTTATAGCTTCGATTTTGCATACTGCGTTACTGGAGTTTGCTCTTCTAAATTTTCTCTACTTTTTTCTGATTTATGGCACTGTTTTTATTTCAGATGTAAGGAGATACAGTACAGTAATCTAAGTATGTTTGGTGTTAATTATAAATTCTGTAATCGACTTCATTTAATTCCGGTTTTTTATGTCTACCATTATGACATCAGAAAAAAACAGGGCAATGCGGAACTAAGGCTAAGTTCTGGATATCCCGAACCGAATGATTGAGACTGCTGTACCTCTACAGTGTTTTGACGTGTTTAAGTTTAAGTAGCCGCTTGAAGCGAAAAACATTTCGTCCTCTGCGCATGCATTCATGTGGTAGAAATGTATATTCATTGCCCGATACCTGGTTTTGTCTGAGGCGTCCTATCAATTTATGCCGTTGTGTTCCATGCCTGCTGAATCTTTTATTCCTGATGTCTTTGTCATGCTAATTCGAAAATTTGTTAGTGTGTTTTCAGGATTATCGGTTGCACATGGCCCGAGAAGCCAAAAAGGCTGTTAAGGCCGAGAAGAAGTTGAAAGTGCTTCTAGGCGGATACCAGGTTGATCGATTTTTCCTGTTACTAACCTCTGACAGATAATATGAGAGAATTCAGGTGCGAGCTCAAGGACTGATCAAACAGGTACAGGAACAAGAGGATCAGGTCGAAATTGCAGAAATAGAAAAGTTCACGTTCGATGCACTTAGGAAGCACGAAGAATTCGTGATTCCAAAACGAATAGGCGTAATATGCCGCCATATGCTTTTAGAGACCATTGTGACGTGGCTTGTTACTGTTTAGAACATCTCTGAAGATGTGGAACGCCAGCAGGAACGAGAAAAACAGTTACAGAAAGTTTTCGACGAATTGCAGCTAGAAGCAGAACGCCTTTCTTCACTGGAACAACGAGAGCAGGCCAGTTTCCGAGCACTTCCTGTCAGATATATTACCTCAGTTTAATGTAACTTCATTTTCGCAGCATTTATATACTGTTTTGTCGCAGCTATGTGACTGACACTTGTATAATTTATGCAACAGTCATTTTGGTTCCTTTTTAACAGATCCTGTCATTGCATTGCTATAAAAATTTGTTTTCTCTACTTTAACTAAAAATGAATGGATATCTTTTTTTGGACTCTGAACATTAGTTCTTTCAAAATGATTCACTCTTTACTTATTATGATGGACTCTGCTGGCTTTTTTCGTATCTTGCAGTAGTACTACTGCAACCCCATGCAGTTATTGATTAAGTAAATTCTGGGTCTTTTTTATCTGCATAAGTTGCTCTATATGCCACTAGCCAGTGCTCTCTTTATAACAACTGCTTGCCTTTAGTACGACGATGACACCCTTAGTTGGCACAGCGAAAGATAAC